TCTCTCTCTCTCTCTCTCTCTCTCTCTCTCTCTCTCTCTCTCTCTCTCTCTCTCTCTCTCTCTCTCTCTCTCTCTCTCTCTCTCTCTCTCTCTCTCTCTCTCTCTCTCTTGTTCCATTCTTCTTTATCCGCGATTGGCCTGTTTTCCGCTGACGCGCAACACTTTTCCAAAAACTTGAAAAAAAATATCTTCGCTTGAAATTTCGGCTAAGCTTTTCTTAGCTTTTTTACTTTGGCTGTTGCTTCTAATGCATTTATGAAGATTATCGAGATTTGCCGTGATTTAATTCTTAGCGCATAACGCGAATGCCAGTAGAACAAGCATTAGCAATAGACTTGCGACCGATAATATTACGTAGACTGATTACAGTTTCGTTCCTTTTACTTACTACCCGATGTTTTGTATACCCGATGTTTTGTTTGTTTTTTTCTTCTTTTTTCCTTTTTTTTAACCTGTGTTGTACCATTGCGTGTATTCTTGTAGGCTTAGCATGCACAATTTAGACCGTAGAATTGTCCCCTTCCTCTCTATCTATCTTTCTTTGTCTGGCTATGCGTCTCGTCAGACGAATTTTACACGAGTTTCAACCAGATTCCATTTCGAGAAAGAGAATCTCGGCCTCTCGTCGGATAATGGTACACGCTGCTTGGTTACTTTCCGACGAGATTAAATAAAAACATTTTCCGGCTCGCCGAATAAACGCCGTTTCCGAGAGAGAGAGAGAGAGAGAGAGAGAAGAGAGAGAAGAAAAGAGAAATTAGATAGCTACATTCCACGATATTGTGCTACGAAATTATTCTACGTTTTCCATGATGGGCCGTTTATACGAGATCTATTTGAGCGGCGGCGATCGAATCGGGAATGCGTGTAATCGAAACAGATCAAAGCTCGTCGTTACACGAAAGCAAATTGAAAACGTTGTCAGCAAGAAGTCATTGATCGATGGATAAAAGTAGATACTCGTGGATAAATTTGAATGGGCTGTGCGATTGAATCGCGTTGAATAGAAGAGTGCAGGAATGGAAATAGAACGCGCGCGGTTTCAAACATAATCCCGAAATAACCGGCGGTTATTTATCCGATTTAATCGATGACAGGACAGTCGTACGATTCGCTCCATGAACCACGAATAGTTGAAGAATCGATAAATTCTGCGCCGTGAGCATTCGTATTGTGGGAAGATAAAGAACGAAAAGATGGAAAATATTGGAAACGCGTGCAAAGATGCGTGCACTTTTTTGTATTCGAAATTCTATGGAAGTTTACCTTGCTTGATTATTAAAAGTCGGACGTCGAAATCTTCCTTTATGGTTTTTCTAAAAAAAAAAAAAAAAAATCTCGATTCTCTCTTTGTTACATCGCAAACTGTTGCGATCGAAAAGTCGAATTAACGAAATTTGATGTAAAAAATTCTTACGCTCGATTTCACATTCGTACGTGACGAAATAACAAGATCTAACAAAGACTAAGAAATTTCGAAAGATCAAATTGAAACGAAATGACGAGCTTCGTTCCGAAAACGTTCTCGAACGGACTCCGAAAGGAAGGGACCGTTTCGGGTGGAATTTCGTATCCGAATCATCATACGAACGACCCTCCAGGTTCATCGCGGACGAATGGTCATCGTGCAGCGTCACGTGCGGCGAAGGGATCAGGCATCGCGAAGTCCGTTGCAAGATATACCTCGAGTTCAGTCGAACGATCGCCGATCTGCCGGATCGACAGTGCTCGGGACCGAAACCGATCGAGAAGGAGAAATGCGTGATGGCGCCGTGCAATGTGATTGAAAACAGTCTCACCTACGGGATCGACACTGTCGACGACAGCGGATACGCGGAGCCAAGCCTGGCTGACACTTACAGATCATCCTCGAGTGGTTCGAGCGGAAGTGGTTACGACGGTGGGATTAAGGTCGCCCCGGGAAGCGACGTGCAGACCACGTACTCGTGGAAGGAAGCTGGTTACACTCCTTGCAGCGCGACTTGCCTCGGAGGTAAGGGATATTCCATTCCATAACTTGTTTCGAAACGGTGAAAATTAAACGCGTTTAAACGCTCAGACTCGGGTAGTTGGGAAGGGGAATTTTGTGAATTGCGTTCAAGTAAAATTGGGACAAGTTTTGGGAAGACTTGAAATTTAACATGGATGGAAATGGAATGAAAATTCACAGGGGAAACAAGAAACTTCGAAAGCGCGGCGACGGGAGCAGGAACGGGGGGGGGGGGAGGAGCGTTTCTTCTGATTGTTCGTGATCCACGAAGGAAACACGTTGGAAATTATGCGATATTCGTTAATGGGGGGAGGGAGAGAGGGGAGAGGAGGGAAGGAAGACAGTGATAGTGATAATTAAATATCCTTGTTAGCTGGATCGAAATATTTTCTCGTAGCTTGGAAAATCCTTTTAATCGAATTATCTATCTCCGTTCTGTAAATACTATATTCAACCGACTCTAATCAGCCGCAAACGTAAGTCAGGGAATTATCGGGGATCAGATCAGCAAGGATTAACGGAACGAATCTAGGTTCGTTCCGCATAGAGCGTTTAATTAGCCGGGATAATGCGACGCGATTGTACAATTAACGGTGCTCGGCGACGAGTTAGCCGATTGAATCGCATCGAACCGATGGATTAAAGTTATACGATTCTCGTCGACTCGTTTAATACGGGAACAGACAGAAATGCTCTGCCTGCTCGCAATCAATTCTATCGATTTTACACTGATTTTATTTCTGCTTTTTCATCCGATATTCCACAGGTTCTCAGGAGCTGATAGTCAATTGCGTGCGAGACGACACCGGAAAGACCGTCATGCCTTTTCTTTGTTCCGCTGAAACGAAACCGGAAGTTAGGATAAGAGTTTGCAACGACCATCCTTGTCCACCTAGGTAATACATCGAGCAACAAATGGGGAAAAAAATCAGAGAAAAAAATTTCTCTTTTTAATCAGAATATTAAACTAATGTTGTACAAGTATTAATTATAACAAGAATATAAGAGAATATAAAAATATCTTTTTTAGATTCTTAGATCTTCCATTCTTCTAGAATTCTAATATATTTAGTTAAACAGCATTGGTTTAATAACGAGTATCGTTCTATTTGCAATTAGCCGACCGATTTTTCCTCGCAGATGGAATTTTAGCGAATTTTCACCGTGCATGAGTCCATGCGGAATCGGCATACAGACACGTGATGTTACGTGCATACACGAGGTGATACGTGGCACAGGTAAGATGGTTCCAGTGCCAAACCACATGTGCCCGCAGCCACAGCCAGCGGACAGACAATACTGTAATGTATGGGATTGTCCGGTTAAATGGAATACCGGCAAATGGGGCAAGGTACTTTACCTCTGTTCAGTAAATTAAATGATACGATCATCTGTGATCGAGGCTCGAATTCACACGATTATTACCCACCAATTAATCCTGATTTCGATAATTATTAAAATTCGATGTTATTGTATTATATAAAAAACGGTTTGATAATTTGTAATTACGTATAACTTAATTTAACATATTGATGAAAATAAGAATAAGAATAAGAATGGGATAATGGTAAACGATAATGGACGTTTCAGTGCTCGAAAACTTGTGGAGGAGGTGTGAAGAAACGAAAAGTGAGTTGCGAACAAATAATGGCTCAGGGGCGTAAACAAAATCGAAAGGATAGCGAATGCCCGCCTCAAAAACCCGCCTCAGAGAAGCCTTGCAATACAAGAGCGTGTCACGATATGGATGCGGGTTCCCTGCCTATAATTACCAGTCAAAATACAACGTATAACCAGACAGACATGAACGCGAAGGTAGATTTAAAGATCGGCGGTATTGCGAAGATTTTTCAAGGCACATCCTCTATAAAGATTCGTTGTCCCGTCAGGAAATTTGACAAGTGCGTGTCCATATTTAACGTACGAGTTTAATAGAAACACGTCGAATAAAATCGAAATATTTTTCAGAGCACAGATCACATGGACCAAAGATAATAAAGAGTTAAGGAAATCAAGGAAATATAAAATTAGCAGGAAGGGGGCGTTAAAGATAAACGACATAACATCCTCGGATGCTGGTGTTTACGCGTGTATAGGTGAGTAAGTAGATAAATTTTTATAAAATTTATAGAAGGTAGTGAATAAAACGTCAATTTGTATGTTACAGCCGGAAATTCTCATGCGGAGACACAATTGATAGTGAAATTTCGTTCGAAGGAGCAGATAAGCAGCGAGGAGTATTTACGATTAAGCAATTCCGTCCATCGACAACGAAATGCAAATTTGGACTCGGCGCCTGCCAATTCAGGCGAAAGTCTCTACACTGATCGAGCAGGTAAGAATTATTTGTATTTAATTGATTTGATTCTTGAATTCTTGATTTTCATTTTCCATTCTAAAAAGATTTTGTGTAATTCAAGTTGATTTTCTAATAGCCGCGTACGGAAACCGTTTTGTTCCCATCGACAGCGAGGATTTAAGTCATGAACGAGCAGTCCCTAGCAATCCGACGAGAAAGCCACATCAGAAAAAACAGAAAACTAGCCCAACGCCGCCGGATTCTACGATGATGCACAAGGAACACGTTGTAACATCGTTGAATCAGGTAAAAGCATAAAAAAAAAAAAAGAACGTAAATGGAAACTTACTTAAATCTAATTTCTAATTTCAATTTATAACCTATTTAAATCTCATTTCATAATAACCGCATGACGAATTGATCTCTCTGATGATTCTTTATCTCGATTTCTTCTTCATGCTTTCTATGCGTGGATTAACTTTATGTGGTGGTGGTTCTTTTTCGTCTAACATATCAGCCAGGGTACCACGAATCCGTGGAATCGACTGCACCCTCGAGATCAAGTGCCTCTACTCTTATACCGCACTTAACTTATTTTATATCAACATTAAAGGTGAGATGACAGTAGTAGATAAGTGTAAAAATAAGATTAATATTTCCAACTTGATCATTCTTATTTTTATTTTCTAAAATACGCGTCTATTTACATATATAATTATATTATATATTATACAATTTGCGATAAATTTTCCAATAGGAATATTGGCCGTTTCAAAGTGACAGTTCTGCGGGAAGATCTCACAGGACAGCTCCAGTGGCATATGTCGACGATGCAAAGAAAGAAGTTGCGACAAACGTTGCGACGAAACGTACAATGCCCGACAGAAATTCCGATTTGAGATATCAAAATATGAAAGATAATTTGGACACGTTGTATAGAAACACCGCGATTCCTGACGAAACTTTTGGACCGGATGAAGAAAGGATATTCATCGACGTCGATCCATATGATTTAGACGAGACCATATTTGGATTACAACACAATGATCCGGTGAAAATCACTCCTGTTGTGACTAAAGATAGTTTAGTCACGCCTGCGAAATCTGATATAGATTATATCGAAGAATCTTTGAAAAATGTAAAAAGACAATGGCACGATAAAACAGATGTTAAAAATCATTGGAATTCCACGCCTAAAAATCAAAATAAAGAATCTATAAATCTGGCAACCAGTTCGGAGAATATTGATTTGGAGAGGTATTACGTTCCAGATTCAAATATGAAACATAATATAGAGAAATTCGAAGAATCTCGCGATAAAAATCAATCTGATCGAAAAAATTATAATAGTTTTGAAAACGAACACGCTTCTTCTACGATGTCGGTTAAAGAAACGGATATAATTTCGAAGAAACCGGATACCGACGACGAGAAAATGAAAGTTTTAAATAAAACGGAAGAGTATGGATATATTTTTGAGGAAGAAATAAAGAAACGAAAAGTTTATGTTGGAAATGACACGGATGAAGATGGTATTACTCGAGAAACGACGACCAGAGATTTGGAAGATGATTTGATCGATTTGGCGCGAATGGAGGATCGAGAATCCGAGAAAATTGAAAAAAATATAAAGAATTTGTCGCGAAATCGAGAAGATCGTAACAATTCGTCCGAAAATGTGAATAATGAAGAAATACAAAAAACTAATAAATCTTTGGATATCGCGACTATCGCTGTTGTTGAACCAAATATTACCACCGATTCTACGATTCCATCTCTTAGCGTCTTAGGTAAATAAAATTTATTTCTTTAATGTGATAAAATGATGCAACATTATACTGTTTTTTCTCAAATAAATAAAATCTAGATACTACGGAAGATCTAGTTTTCGAGTGGATAACGACAGATTGGTCAAAATGCTCCCAAACATGTGGAGGAAGCGGATTCCAGGTAATTTAAAAAAAATAATTTTAATCAATATCAAAAATAAATGTAATTGTAAAATATTAAATTTCAATATCTCTTCGTGCCAAGATGCGAGGCGCCCAGTGTACAGTTCGTGCAGCAAAACCGATTGGGAACACAACTCGTACACCACCACGGACAGTTATAGGAGCGACATTGTGCGAAGATGCTGGACATCCGGTACCTCAAAAAGTTAGACCTTGCGGATTTGGTAAATGTCCTCAATGGCATACAACTGAATGGACTTCGTGTGAAACATCCAGGTGTTTTAATTGGAAAACTGCAATGCAAAGACGTGACGTTACTTGTCGCTTGATTGACGATATGGGAAATGGACAACAAAACATTACATTACTCGATCCTAATAAATGTGATGATACTATAAGGCCTCTTCAAAGGCAAGAATGTTATAACGATGCCTGCAAAGGTGTCTGGAGAGTTGGAGAATGGTCAGAGGTATGAATTGTTATATCATTAAGATCTTTGTTGTTTCATATTTTTCGTTAAATATGAATATAAAATTTAAAAAAAAAAACGAATATTTGACTGTTTGTAGTGTACAGCATCATGCGAAGAAGACGGTATCAAATATAGAATCTTACAATGTGTTTGGTATGGTACCAAGAAACCAGCTGGTAATGCGTGCAGAGATATTCCACGACCTCCGGTCATGAAGACTTGTAGAGGTCCACCATGTCCTCAAACACCTGGTAATATACGATTATTGTTATTTAAAATTTAAAATTGAGCTATGAGTGTAATTGAAATTTTATAATAATAAATCTGAATACGATTGTTGTTCTTTCAGATGAGTGCAAAGATCATTCACAACTCTGTAGCAGAGTGAAAACAATGAATATGTGCAGGGTGCCTCTTTATCAGAAGCAATGCTGTCAATCATGCCATTAAGCCCAAATAATCGATAGCAATTATTGGTATCGAAAAGAAATGTTCTAGATAAAAATTGATAATGAGAGGTGCGCGCGAGAAGAATGTCATAATAGAGACAACAAGACAAAGATTATCTTCGCGAACGTTTGTTAAAACGTTTCGTGTAATTTATTGTTGCTTGCTTGTTGAAAGAATGTAAGAATAAAAGATTACATTTGAATCTACGAACATATGCAGCTACAAAATATGTAAGAAATATTGAAGAAATAGTACCAAATTACTTCCGCTGGTAAATGTTCCCATCCTTTTTCCATACCCCTGATAATAAGATGTGAACGTCAGATTGCACCCGTTAAGAATCTAATTCTTAATTGTATACTAAATCTATGATTTGCGGACACGTATCACGTGTAGTTGGACACGATTCTTAATTGCGCACGCTCAAACCTCTAAAAAGAACCAGGAAATCTTGGCATTCATCAAAATTATAAATATTAAAAAATTATATTGTTGAAATTAAATAAAAAAAGAAATATTATAAAATAATCATATTCCTGAAAGGAACTAACTGCGACGTTTTTTTATCGTGAAATGATACGTCGTCAAAATTCGTCTAACGTTGATGTTACGAAAGACGAGCTTTATAAGCTGTTTAAATTTTAGATAAAAATGTTACATATGGGTAGGGAGGGGTGAACGGAACACTAATCTCAATCGCACTAAAAGATAGCACAAAAATTGATTCTTCGAAGCTTTATTTTTTTACATGTATTTCTTGAACGACGCACGATCAATCGGTTCACGAAAATGCGCGCGGTATGTCTCTTCATCATCATTTTTATCGAAGACTGAAAAAAAGCTATATATTTCTTCTGTATAAGTTCATGAAATTCACCATTCCCATCGGGTGTTAACGAGAATCGAGAAATTCATTTTCATTTCTTAATCCAAAGAATTTTCACACACATTCCGCTGTACCCTTCCAGATAAAGAGGTGTGTTATACGCATCTTGTTATGTTTTCATTGGATTATATTTATTATAACGTTATATCTATTTAGGTTCGATGATACACGATATAAATTATTGAATGAAAAATATTAAGTTGATGAATAATGAAGTATAAAAGTTACTAACGATATAAGTTAAAAAATTTATTATTATGCGCCTATAAGCGCCTCCTGAGGCGTACGTAAGCCAATAGATTCTAAGCAATAAAATATATAGGTATTGTAATATACTATTTTGTTAATAACCTCTGGCGAAAATTCGTTAACATGACGTTCCATTATTATATAAAAATGGCTCAAAAAATTTTACGTATGTACTTCTAATCATATAATTAAAATTGTTATATTTATTTTAAACTACGTTAACTACAATAATTTGATTTTTGCAATATCTTCAACTTCTTTTATTTATTATATATAT